GCGAGCCCACCCCCCGACAAATGTACACGGCCGTTTGTTACGCGCGATTTCGTCCTCTCCACCTTTTCCACCGATACCCGGCCTGTCGACCGGTTCGATCGCTCGATCCACGGCCGTGATGCCCCTGTCAAACCTTCGTCGAGATGCAGCCTGTCGCTTCAATCAGCGGCAGCTCGATTTTTCTGCCTCAAATTTTGTCGTCGACATTTCGAATCCGCCGATGCATTAACAGATTATGCTTGTAAAAGGTATCTTTTGTGAGATAGAAAAGATGTACATTTTGAAGTTGAGAAATGCGTGCTCAAAGAGGACTACATTTTTCCTACTTTTTAATAAGACGAGATGTGTTGGATAATTAAATTGTTGGATAAAATGAGCAAAGTATAATAGCTTTTATGGAAGTTTAACACTAGAATTACCAAAAGCGTCAAAGTGTTCCCATTGGGGTTTCGGATTTTCCTTTTTTACAATTATTGACAATATACAGGTGATTTTGTTAATATTGATATTGATTTTTATTTAGATGATGTTTAGATGATAAATCTATATAATCATGTCGCTAAACTAATTAAAATTTACTTCGATCAATGTCGCTTGAATTATACCGATTTATGTATGAAACATTTAGTTACATATTAAAAGTTGTTAATCTTTATATTTTTATAATGTTAAAAAGTATCTATAGTTCGTGCGAAACACGAAAGAACTGTTAACAGTATAACATGACTTCTCATTTCGATTCTATAATAAACCTTTTCTTAAAACGTTAACAACTTTTCTGCTTACTAAAACAAAAATGAGACTGAAGTATAAAAATTCAAATATTGTAACAAGACTAACGAGTCGCCTGTGTTTTTGTAATTACCATGCGAAGACTGCAGATGAGAAACATGATAGTCACATTTTCTTCTTTCGTAGGAAAGCCATTTCGAAGCCAATTCCACGCCAAAACTATTATTTCATTTGATTATGAGACTAAATCCAATCCCAAAGAACGTTTGTGAATCCAAGTTCAAATTTAACATTTTCCACATAAAATTATCGATAGTGAACGCGTATGCATAAAACAGAATCACTGTTAACTATCAACACTGTACCAATATTCACTAATATTCACTAACATTCACTCATAAAAGTATTTTACAAATTAAACACACGAAAGAAGCGATCATCGATTTTCAACTTTCAGCCAAGATTTTTTAACGTCGATTTGACGATCAGCTGGGATACATCGACGGAGGGTCACAGGCTAAACGATGAAATAAAAGCTGGCACTTACGCGAGTTTTCATGCTACGAGCGCCGAGTTATACGGCTTATAATGGGGTCGGCGTGCATACACGCACGCGGTTGCGCAGTTTTATTTTATGGCGGCGTGGCTTGGACGGCAAACGACCGGGTTTTTACGGTGAACCACGACATTTAACCGGCTTACCGCCGTCGTCCAGCGAAATATTCAACTCCGGACGTTTAACGTCACCCAGGAAACGTTCTGCTTCTCCGCGTGTTCCGTTTCGTGATGCGAACATTCTTGTTACTAACCCTTTGAAATACTTCAATTTCCTTCGTAAAGTATTTGTGACCAAGTGACGAGCCTGCATTCGCAACATATTTTTTTAAATACAATTGGATCGTGATATTTCAAAATAATAAGATCGTACAAGTTGGTTCGAATCTCAGAACTAGGATAATTTATCAAGAAAAATTTAGCCAATTTTGATGTTATGGAAATTTCACTCCTTTAGGTATAACGTTATTATAAATGACAAATTGTTACTGGGCATGTAGATTAGATACACATCGATATTATTCAACTTATTTAGTATGTCAGAACTAATTCACATAGTTCGTTTTACAAAAAGATATCTTTATAAATAGCAATGCTGCAAATAAAGTTGCTCTTGTGCACATACAATTCTCCTCGCTTAAATGCTATCAAAAATGTCTGAAACCTATACCAAAATCACGTGTACATTCTCGATCATTATATTTCTCCAATTAGAAATAAAAATTCGATGTAGTTGTTGAAATAATTACAACATATACTATATGAACAAACTAGTGCATAGAGAAGACGTGGAAAAAGATTAATTAACAAACTCTGCTACTATAGACTTGGTTCATACCCTTCAATTCCAGTAAAAGAACAAACAACGTTAAAAGCGTTAAGTGGAAGAATTAAAAATAGAAATTAAATTAAGAAGAAAAAAGTTTTCTAGTTGGAGCTCCTCTAATAGTAAAGTAATAAATAGTAAAGTAATAAAAATCCACTATACGATACTCTTTCGAATGATTTAACTTTCGACTCGAGTAAAAAGCGATGACAAAAATTCATCGATGCCTTTTAATCCCTGGAATAAAATAGAAAAAACACAGTCGGGGTGAGGAAAAAAATTATTCGAAATAGAATACAGAGATTTCCGAGGGTGGAAGCGGAGGGCTAACAAGGCCAAAGTTTATTGCCGGTGCGGTGTCAGATTCGTGATGGCGGTGGCGGCGCGAATCGAGGGTGATGGCAGGCGTTTTGAGGGTGTTTATGAGGCATTATGTGTAACTCGCTGGAAGAACGATCCTCCCCCTTGAGGTCTGCTGCCCTCCACCTGTCTACGCTCGCCGAAATCGTAATTCGTTACGTGCTAAACGCTGCCTTTCCACGCATCAATCTGCGCCCTGTTGCAGCCTTCTGCATAATTTCTCAATTCAGCCTACATATCCTCCAAGCGTTCAATTTCTCAGGCCATATTGTCTATGAAAATTATCTTCCTTCTTTTTTCGAATTATTTCTGATCGAGTAATAAATTCCATTTCTTTAAAAATCGTGGTACTTTTGATACAAATAATAGAATTTTTAATTCTTAACGAAGTAACAGAAATGGGTATGTCTTCGCTTTTCTGACTTAATGGAAGTAAATATTAATTTTGTAAGTTAATTGAGTTTGGTAAATTACAAAAGAGAGAAGTCAAATATCAGCCAGTTCGAAATCTGAAAAAATATAAAAACTTATCGAACCATATTGTATTCGCAGCTGTTTTTTAATCTTACGGCTCGTCGATTAGATCGTTGTTTCTTAAAAACGTCGCAACGTAAAATGCAACGAAAAATGGCATTCCCCTGACTGAAGTGATCGGCGAGACTGAAAAGTCTTCGTTGGGAATATAAAGAGGGCCAGTCGATAGAAGCGCACACGAGCCTCATTTCGCCGCGATTCGGCCAGTCAAAACGTCAGAATCTTAAAACACGACAAACACTCTGAAATAACGATCCGAGCCACCCTCGGCTACGAGCTTCGCCGGTAAACAGGGGAGTTTTTAACACTGCATGATCCCTGGGCAAACTTAGGGTGTACGCGAACGTTCTCTCGTGTCTTCTCGCGGTGTGCAAATCCCTGTCGTGTAAATGGACGTAGACTATCGCGAGCCCGTAAACACGCGGCCATTATGCTTTT